GGCATATTTATTTCTATAAATAAATTTAGATTAATCTTTAGGGCTACTAAAGTTTTTCAGTCAAGAGAAGTGAGTGATTTTCTGTCTTTCGTATGTTGCTTGATTAACACCAATGACTAGGACAATAGCAACAAAATTAGGCTGCTATCCCTTTAAAACCGAATGCACAGCTGCAATAGATGCAATGTACTGATACACCTTCTCCCTGCTGTTAGGAACACATTTAATTTTAGGAACTCCGTTTGGGGGAACTAAATTAGCTCCAACTTAAAGTAGGGTCTGAAACAGTTCTATAGGAACTACCAGTGACGTTAAGTGTAAATTGTGTGTTTACATTCCATCTCCGTTATCACGAAACCCACGACACACAACAAAAACAGCTCCAATCACAGCGTTCTCCATTCATCGGTTGTTGACATTTGTAAATAAAGACATCACTGTCGACTGGAGTTCCTGCTGCTGGTGCGAAAGCAACAAGAAAAACTATGCGATGTGTGAAAGCTCATGTTAGGATTATTGCCATAATTCTCAGCATACATACAGAGAAGCTGATTAAGACAGAAGTTGTGTTTACTTTCCCCTTGTACATGTAAGCAACTTTATATACCCCTAAGGGATTTATAACCTTATTCCCCCTGACACTGATAAATATCAAATATTACATCTGAGGAAAACATTTATTGCTCTTGGTTGCCTGGTTTGTTTAACTTGATATCATAGCTTGTGCGACGCTGTGCTGTAATAATGGGGTTGCCCTCACCCCTTCAGTTTTTTTCCACATTTTGTGTTGCTGCCTTTTGTTGAACTTTGATTTTTCATGTCAATCTACACTCCATATACCATAAGGATAAGGCAAAAACTGATTTGTGACAACTTTGCAAATGTATTAAAAAGGACAAGCTGAAATAAATACATTGCCCTATTCATACCCCTAACTTACTACTTAGTTGAAGCACCTGTACAGCCTCAAGTCTTTTTTGAGTACGAGGCAACAAGCTTTGCACATCTGCATTTGGCAATTTTCTGTCATTTTTTCCCTCACCTCTTACATCTTAACCTGTGTCAGGTTGGATGGGGAGGAGAGACATTTCAGTTTTCTCAAGAAAACTTTGATTGGGTTCAAGTGACTTGATTGGGTTCAAGGCTGGACTATTCGAGGACATTCACAGAGTTGTCAATAAGCCACCCTTGCATTGTCATAGCTACAGTATGTGCTTAGGGCCACTGCCCTCCTGAAGAATCTTCAGTACAAGTAGAATCTTCTGCTCAATCCGAGGTTCTGAATGCTCTGGGCTAGGTTTTCATTAAGGCTATCTCTATATTTTGCTGCATTGAGCTTTTCTTATACTCTGACCGAGTCCTTCTACTGAGTCTCTGCGCTGAAATACACCCCCCACAGAAAGAGGCTGCTACCATCACACTCTACTTTCAGGATGGTACTGTTCTGATGATGAGCAGTACCTGGTTTCCTCCATTCATGATGCTTGGAACTGAGTTGCACTTGTTTCTCACAGTCTGAGAGTCATTTACAATATAAGAACAATATCTTTACTACCACCTTTTTATCAATTTAACACATCCTTGAATTACAACCATTTTTATACACAGCTGCACAATGAGTTACGGTACTCTTTGTTTAGCCATTTGTCAATATGAAGTGTTATGGAAATTTTTTAATTTGCATTGATTGCATTGATCTCACTTTAATACATTTATCTTACATACATCTTTTGAATGTAATCTTTAATCAGTACTCAATAAGTATTCAATGGTAACCTATAGAGTGAATGAGGTCTTTTCAGAGAAGTTGTGTACCAGGAATGAGCAGTTCTGAAAGTAACCAGACACCTACATTAACAGGCACTACCATGTACTATGGGGTGATGTGCACTGAGTAACATGATTGGCTTAAGAATTCTTATCTGTCTTCAATGTATCTTTTTGAAGGATATAAATCTGGGCTGTGAGCCTGCCTGTTATCTCTTTGCTCACAGACTCAAGCTGTGTGTAAACCAGATCATTCTCTGCAGAGAATTAATGCAAGACAAAGACAAAACTCTGTTTGGATTTTCATTTTCAGTCTTCACAAATATTTTATTAAGTCAGATTTTCCATGAAAAACATTGGCGACGAGGATGGGATACCACAGCTGATCGTTCGGGATCTGAGGACATTAGTTGGCTGATCACCCTAAACCCACAAAGGGTTTAGCCCTAAACCCCGAAAGGCTTCAGGGAAGGGGGGGGCTGACGTCTGAGGGCTTGTGGACATTCACTGCTGGTTTCTCAACGGATCAGAAAACGCATGTAGCAAAAGTTGAGACTGATTTTGAAAATCCAATTGTCTTGAAACCTAAAATAATTCATTTATGATTCAGAGTGTAGCCAATCTGAATCATAAAAGCAAGATCTGATATTCCCAGACTTTATGACACAAGTCCAAGCCACCCACTGGATTCATGAGTAAGTGAAAAAACAGGTCTGCAAGTAAGCAGGACCGTCTTGCGAGGAAGCAAGGGAGGGGGGTGACAAGACTTTGTGCGAGTAAGTGCAAAGCCACATGGTGGTGACGATCACGTGTGAAGGGAAAGAGGACGCGTTCCAGGTAAAAGTCTTGGATTGTAAAAATGGGGTCTGGAAATGTCAAATCTAAGATCGATCTAGATGATTTGTACAGTCCAATTTACAATGATATGAAAAAGAAATATGGGAAAATAATTATGGAAGTCATACCCGAATGGGTTGAGAATCATGGTTTTCCAAAAAAGGGGTACGTTTAGCATAACGGCTCTGAACAGAGTAAAAGAGAGTTTGGAAAAATATGAAAATAGATTAAGAGAGAAGAAAAATCTGAAAAACAAACAAAAAGACGTTTCAGAAACAAAGGAAAATTTGGTTTGAAAAAGCAGAACGCAGAGAGAAAAGGCAGACATCAAAAGAGCTGCCATTTAGGAATTAACAGAAAAATTATAGTTCTGTAGCTTGTGAGGATAAAAGAACAGATCATATTGCTCAGAATTCTTCTCTTTATCCCCTTAGACAATTGCAGTGTGCCAAAGTGGACTTTGATATAGACTCCTGGCCTCACCCCTATCGACAAATGCCACAGCAGCATCAGATACAGCTACCACCGCCGCTGCCTCCATCCTACAGCGCAACTGTATCTGCACCGCAGTCCTTGCCGCCCGACGAAAGACAAGCACAGATCTTTGAACTGCCGAAGGGAGAGCAAGCGCCTGCCCCGACAAAAACTTCGACAGCATCATCATCATCCAGACCGTCCGCCACCAGCGACGGCGTCAAAACAATAAAATACTCCATGGCTGGCATCAGCACCAGATCCAAATCTCACGAAAGAGTGACACTGCAACCAGACAGCCTGGAAGAGGACGAACTGGAGGGAATAGGAGAGCACGTAAGAGCTTTCCCATGATTCAAGTGGCCGGACGGAACTGTAATTTTGAGCATAATTTGCTTATGCTCAAACTTGGGGGCAACAGACTGGCACAAAATAAGACCGCATTTCCCCACGGGCAACGCCCAAAGGAAGAACGCTGACTGGAATCACATCAACAACGAAGCATATCGTCAAGCAGTGACAACACTGTGTCAACGGACCAAGACTGACTTTCCAGTCAGAGTGAACACCACCAAAATCAACTATTGCACGCAGCAGAGAAACGAGTCTGTCAACGACTATTATGTGCGGCTGTATGAAACTTTTAACAAGTACAGCGGGATACCGGTACCAGTCGAAAGAGGAGAAGTTCCACAGATGTGGGAATCTCATTTGCGATGCAGCCTCATAAGTGGACTGAAACCTGAAATAGCTGCAATCATCAAGCAAACTTGCATTGGATGGGAGGACGAGGAACTGGAAAAAATAAGACAGCATGCCCTCCATGCTGAAAGACTGCTGGAAGAAAGAGGGGGAAAGAAAAAGGAGAAAGAGCTCCAGCTGACAGCTCTGACGATGTACAAAGGCCCACCGAGACAAGGTATGAATTACAGAGGCCGAGGGCATGGAAGAGGCAGAGGACAAAGACAGTCTCAGATCAATCCAGATGTTTGCTTTTACTGTGGGGAGAGGGGGCATTGGAAAATTAACTGTCCACATTTGATCAATCGAACGGTGGCTGGACCAGAGAAAGCTAAGGCGGACTGACAACAGAGACTTTCGCGGCAGAAACTGGAGAAGGAGGGGGAGCCAGGAGCAAAGTCCATGACGGCCACGCAGCACAAACAGATAAGAATGAAACGCACACACACACTAACCACGCTAACTGCAATGAAGAAAATCTGCTTGTTTTAATACATGATCACATTGCAAGATTAGAAAATGACAAATCTTCTCTTGACAAAAAGGTAGGCACATATATTCATTTGAATGATTTAGCACATAAGCAAATGCCACACATCAGATTGTGGGTAAAAGGAATTGAAAGGACTTTCCTGGCTGATAGGGGGGGTTAACAATTTTGTAATTAGAATGGATGAAATAGATCCAATTCCAAATTAAGTGGAAATTTTGTTTGGCGAACTTCTGCATCTGGTCATACTGTCAGAGAAAATTTCACTGTACAATTGAGATTTGAGGATGAGAATGGCACGAGCTTTAAGCATTGTTTCCTACTGTCAGAAAACTGCCCTCAAAATTTGTTAGGAAGAGATTTAATGTGCAAACTGGGTATTTCTCTGTTATCTAGCCCAGATGGAATTCAAGTGGGTCCAATGCCAAATTCAAACTTTAGCCACAATCCAACAATCGCAGTTGAACATTTACCAGTGGAAACTGACAGATGATGAATTATGTGAAAAACTTGTCAATGCTGCAATAGACAGAGTTTCACCTAATTCTGAAATTATGCCATTCTCTGATTTACATTGCTCAGCACATGTATCATTTGGAAGAGATGAAATGTTTGAACAGAAATGGTTTCAATGTACAGACACAATAGACTTGAAACGGTTAATCTGGACAGAAAACAGGTGTGCTGTTACTGTTGATTTGAGAAATGAACAGCAAAAGTTTTTGATGTTGTTGGTTCTTTCCCACATGTCTCATTGTCCAAAAAGAACAATGACCATTGGGAAGACATTGGGTTTATTTGTAAAAACGTGTATTTTTCATGTATCCCTGCCGGTACGAGACTCGAACCCACAACCTTTGGGTTATGAGTCCGACTCTCAAACCATTAGGCCATGACTTCCCCCGGTTTTTTAACCCTGGTTCATAGAGGAATGGTCATAAATGTTGAGGGTGGGTGAGAATCAGAAAAGAAACCCTGTACCACAGTGTGGTATCACCCTATTGCACAATGTACTCAGGAGGAGGGGGGAGTCGGGAGCAAAGTCCACCAAGGCCACGCAGCACAAACAGGTAAGAACAACACAGACACACACACACATTGTCTAACCCAGCTAACAGCAATGAAGTAAATATGCTTGCTCATATTCCTGCTCATAGCAATGAAGTAAATATGCTTGCTTTAATACATGATCACATTGCAAGATTAGAAAATGACAAATCTTCTCTCGACAAGAACATAGGCACATATAGTCATCTGAATGATTTAGTTTATAAACAAATGCCACAGATTAGATTATGGGTAAAAGGAGGTGAAAGGGCTGGCAACTCAGTAATTAGAATGGATGAAATAGATCCAATTCCAAATTAAGTGGAAATTTTGTTTGGCGAACTTCTGCATCTGGTCATACTGTCAGAGAAAATTTCACTGTACCATTGAGATGTGAGGATGAGAATGGCATGAACTTAAGCATTGTTTTCAACTGTCAGGAAACTGCCCTCAAAATTTGTTAGGAAGAGATTTAATGTGCAAACTGGGTATTTCTTTGTTATCAAGCCCAGACGGAATTCAAGTGGTCCAGTGTCAAATTCAAACTTTAACCACAATTCAGCAATCGCAGTTGTATATTTACCAGTGGAAACTGAAAGATGACGAATTATGTGAAAAGCTTGTCAATGCTGCAAAAGACAGAGTTTCACCTAATTCTGAAATTATGCTATTCTCTGATTTACATTGCTCAGACACAAATGGTTAATCTGGACAGAAAACAGATGTACTGTTGCTGTTGATTTGAGAAATGAACAGCAAATGTTTTTTGATGTTGTTGATTCCTTCCCACATGTTCCATTGTCCAAAAAGAACAATGACCATTGGGACGACATTGGTTTATTTGTAAAAATGTGTATTTTTCATGTGAATTGGGTGGAGACAGCAGAGGAAAATGTTGAATACAATCCAACTCCGCATACCGAATGTGTTTGCACAAGCCTGCTGTTAGAGCTTTACGCACAGTCTGTGTGATTGATGACAACAACACACTCCTTTCTCTCAGCAGAGGAAGTAGAGACTCATCCAGCGCTCAAAGAGGTCCCTAAAACACTTTGGGCCTCATCCAAATTTGACGTGGGGCTGGTTAAAAATTGTGAACCAGTTCAAATCACTCCAGAATCTGATTATAGACCATGCAAACCGCAGTATTCCCTGAAAAAAAGAGGCTATTGAGGGGATAAAGCCAGTTTTTGAATCATTAAGAGCAGCTGGGGTAATTGTGCCCTGTGAGAATTCTCCTGTGAGTACACCTATTTTCCCTGTCAAAAAGATAAGGAACGCAGGCCAAACAACTGAGTGCCGTTTTGTGCAAGATCTGCAGGCTGTGAATGAAGCAGTTCAAGCACAAGCTCCGAATGTTCCAAATCCATATACAATCTTTTCACAAGTGCCAAGCGATGTTGAGTGGTTTTCAGTTGTTGATTTATCTAATGCTTTCTTCTCTGTGCCAGTTCACAAAGACAGCCAATTTTGGTTTGCTTTCAATTTTGATGGTAAGGCCTACACTTTCACCAGGCTCTGCCAAGGCTACTGCGAATCTCCAACGATTTTAAATGAAGCACTGAGAAGAAGCTTAGAGCCATTGCAGCTGACACCAGGTACAGCATTGTTTCAGTACGTGGATGATATTTTTTATCGCTGTGAGAGATAAGGAGACATGGGAGCGAGATACTGTAAAACTTCTAAAACATTTGGCTGCTGAGGGTCACAAAGCCAGTTTGTCAAAACTGCAGTTTGTAAAAAGGGAGGTGACATTTTTAGTTCAAGTCATCACAAAAATGGTAAATCTCTATCTGAAAAACGAAAAGAGGCAATTCAAAAGATTCCAAAGCCAGTCACGAAAAAGCAACTAATGTCATTTTTGGGCATGTGTTCGTACTGTCGAACGTTCATTCCAAATTATGCTATCGAAGAATCGCCCCTGAGCGCTTTGGCTCATGGGAAGGGCTTGAAACCACATGACAAACTGACCTGGACCCCAGAAGCAGAGAAAGCATTTGAGAATTTGAAAATACTGTTACAAACATCACCAACCCTGGGACTTCCAGACCCAGAGAGAAATTTTGTACAAACTGTTGATGAGAAAAATGGGTTCATGACTTCTGCTCTGTTACAGGATCATGGGGGAAAACTGAGACCTGTGGCCTATTTTTCGAGTAAGCTCGATCTGGTAGCGGCAGGCTTGCCAAAATGCCTGAGAGCTGTAGCATCTGCAGAAAAAGCTATTTTAGCTTCAAGGGAAATTATGGGGTACTCTGATGTGACTTTGCTCGTGCCACACGCGGTCTCTATGATCCTGTTAGAACAGAAAACATCCCATTTGTCAACCGCCATATGGCTCAGGTACAATGCAATTTTGTTGGAAATGCCAAACATCATGATAAAAAGATGCACAGTGTTAAATCCTGCTACACTGCTCCCAACGGAGCAGGATGGGGAAGAACACGACTGTGTTGCCACATTGGAACTGATCCGTAAACCAAGACCAGATTTAAAAGAAACCCCCTTAGAAAATGCTGACTTAATTCTATTCGTTGATGGTTCAGCATCTAAAGACCCAAAACTGGCAAAAATAGAGCAGTACATATGCAACAATAACATCCGGAGCGCTCCCCGCGCAAACAGCCGAATTAGCAGCATTGACAGAGGCATGCAAAATTGCTGAAAGACAAACAGTTACTATTTACACAGATTCTCGTTATGTTTTTGGGGTTTGTCTTGATTTTGGGGCATTGTGGAAACACAGGAAATTTCTAAAGTCTGATGGTAAGCCTGTTCTAAACCATGATAAAATAGCAGCATTGTTAGAAGCAATTTTGCTACCAAAGTCAATTGCTATCTGCAAATGCGTTGCACATTCCAAGAGTGATGATTTTGTGTCTTTAGGTAAGAAGCAAGCTGATACAGCTGCGAAGGACACAACTATGAGAACAGAATCTTCTCTAACATGTGTAACAATGACTCAGTCACACTCTCTTCTGATTCTCTTACAGCTATGCAAGCTTTTGCGACAGCAGAAGAGAAGAAACAATGGGTGAAGGCCGAGTGCAAACTGAAGGCAAACCATGTCTGCCAAAACACTTTTTCCCACACTATGCAAAACTTGCACATGGACTAGATCATGTGAGTAAAGGGGGAATGTTTAATTTGTTGAATCAATATTGGTTCACAAAGGGCTTTACTTCTTTTGCGGACAAATATTGCCAATCATGCATGATCTGCGCCACAAGCAATGTGGGCAGAGGGCAACTGATGCCTCAAACGGTACACCCAATTCCAAATCAGCCATTTGATCACATAATGTTCAATTTCATTGAATTGACACCATGTGAAAGAAAAAAAGTTTTGATTGGTTATGATTGACCTGTTCTCAAAATGGGTTGAAGCTTTTCCTACATCCAAGCAGAATGCTAGTGCCGTTGCGAAAGCACTTTTGTCTGAAATTATTTCTCGATGGGGAATACCTAGAAAAACCTTTCGCAAATGAAGCCATCACTCAGGTGTGACATTAAAGAACAAATTAATGAAGTGTTGTGAGCAGACAGGTTTGTCTTGGGTAAAAGCACTCCCCATTGTGTTGATGTACATGAGAATGAGAAAAAGAACAAAGTCTAATTTGAGTCCGTTTGAAATTCTGTTTGGCAGGCCAACTTCCATTGGAGTACCACGACCACTGCCCTCTACAGCCTTGTGTGAATATGACATGCTAAACTATTGTCGAAATTTGTGTATTGTTGTCTCTCAGATATCTTAGCAGGTCAAGGACACTCTGCCCAAGCTAGCTGAAGGAGTCTTGCATGACATCAGGCCTGGTGATTTCGTGGTAATGAAGGACTTGAGGAGGAAACACTGGAAATCTAAGAGGTGGAACGGCCCGTTCCAGGTCCTGCTGATAACACACTGCGGTGAAAGTGGCAGAGAGAGCTACGTGGGTACACGCAAATCACTGCAGGAAGGTTCCAGTGCCACCACGGGGTGCCACAGATCAGTAAAGTGATTGACCGCTGCCCCGTGCCAAGGGGGACGTCTGACTGACTAATCTGGGGTCAGTGCAGGTCAATGAATGACAACAAGGAAACAAGTTCTACCCATCACCGTAGAGCAGCGGTTCTCAATTCCAGTCCTCGCGTACCCCCGCT